TTTATAAGTAACAACGATCTAAAGCAGACTTGAAACCAGCCTGGAACTTAGGCTTAAGCTTGTTGAAAAATGATGACTTCAGCTAGTAATAAAGTATATTTAATATTTCTTCTGTCATAAAAATAAGAATATTTATATTTACCAGTCAACAGTTAGAAAATGTTCTCTGTATACATGGTTATAGGATGAAATTAGTCTCTATTGATATTAGCTAACCATGTTCTCAATAGGTCAGGTTCCTCTAACAAGATCCTAAAAATACTTACATTTATAATATTATTTACACTCTGTAGGTCTAAATATAGACATACAGAGTGTAAAATAATACTATAAATGTAAGTAGTAATTAAATATTACATAAGTATATAATGTAAGTATGTATTAAATATTACAGCTGATTTGTCCTCTGATTAATATTATTACTGGTAATCAGAGGACAAATCAGCTGTAATATTGAATAGTTTGTGTTAAACTGTAGCCTGATTCAGCAGGGTGCTACACTCTGTATATATGCTCCACAAGCTAATATCTGCTAACCAGTTCAATAAATAACAGTGACTACATCGACTTTATAAGATTATTTTAATTTTAAACTGTTAYATTACGTTCTGCTCAGATCACATTGAGCTAAATAAGATCAAATCTGCTGACTTGTGTAAAATGAGATGTTTTCCTTTTTATCTTCTGTTAATAAATCCATAACACAAACAGCTTTTCTGACATTATTTAAAACATTAGATAGATTATATAAACTGTAAAATATTAATAATAATTGGGTTAATATTATTAATAGTTTTCATGATTTCTACATTGTCAGTCCTTTTTTTATGCTCTGCTGTCAACATGTACAGTAATGGGAAATCCAGACTCTTGACCGTTTTGCATTAGCCATTAGCTTCACCAGCCGAACTCCACTCCAGCTGTTCTATGTAACCTTCTTGTTTTAACACTGAAGTGCACCATCTGCTGGTGAATGTGAGAACTTTATGAGCCAGTTAAAACACTTACAATTCTAGGGTAAGGCACACGGCCAAAGGAGTAAATCTCCCAAAGCAGGATTCCATAACTCCATACATCCGACTTAGTAGAAAACCTCTGTTGGACAAACAAACAAACAAACAAAAAAGTTCAAATTCATATATTTTATGAGCAGACATTTACTGTCCACACAATCCAAACGCAGCTGGGTGTAGCTTCGAACAACACGGACACAATTAGCAGCAGGCCGACAGCTGACATCTGCCCACCTTCTCCCTTAGTGCTTCAGGGGCGGTCCACTTGACGGGCAGCTTGGCCGTGTCCTGCACAGAGGAGGCCTCCTTGGTGAGGCCAAAGTCGCTGACCTTGGCGATGTTGTCGTCAGACACCAGCACATTTCGAGCTGCCAGGTCTCTGTGGACAAAGTTGTTGGCCTCCAGGTACTCCATAGCTTCACACACGTCACTGACGGGAGGGATGAGACGATGAGTGAGGAGAGGAAGACAATAACAACTCATCAGAGGGTAATAAAATGTAGTGTCAATGAAGAAAAATCCATTCACTCAAACTGTGTGCTGCACAGTTTCTACTGAAATCAAAACTTAAAACAATGGAGTGAGTTACTACACAAAAAACTACTGAACAGAATGTTTATTTGATTTATTTTAGGTGCTGGATTACAGCAAGAGCTCAAAAACTAATTAAAACAGTTGAAAAAACTGACGCAACTGAAAGGAGCCTCAGAGAAATCCAGCTGAGTAATATTTGTAGGAACAAACAAATGCTTCTGTTCTGCTTCCAGCTAAACGTCCAACACATTTCTGTCGAAATTCGTTCAAATCCTCCCAGCTGAACAAGCAGTTTCTCACCCAAATGCTGCTTTTGTACGAATCTAATGAAGATATGAGCAGAGATGAAGAGGACTCACAGTGAGAACTTGAGCAGGCAGTCCCCACCGAGGACAGTCCGTCCTCTGGACCGCAGGTAGTCCACCAGGCTGCCCTGTGGCACAGTTCAGATTAATAATAAATATGAAACTGATCTCCCTGAGTATATTACTCCACTTTTAACAAGTCTATAAAACAGCCTTAAAACTATGATGGGTTTGCTAAACTAAAGAGCCGTTTTAATCAGCAGCAAGCTAAGAGATGAGAAAGTAGTAGTAAAAGGATGTCTGACCTTGGCCATGTATTCTGTGACAATGTAGAGACTGCCCCTCTCTTCAACGATAACACCCAGCAACTGCACCAGGTTGTTGTGCCTCAGCTGCCTGTAGAAACACACAAACCGAGGCAGCAAATAAGACGTTTCAGCACAGAAAATCCCTGCGAGTTCTCACAGCTTGTAAATAAAACCTCATCAGGAAAGAACAGAAAAACAGTGAGAGTCGACAAGTTCATTTGAAAAAGTACCTGTTGGAAGASTGAGATAAAAGTTTGGTCTTACGTCATGACGGAGGCCTCAGCGATGAAAGCCTGTGCTGTGGCATCATTTTTAATACACTTGACCGCCACCTTGGTCCCTCTGTAGTCTCCCACCATCACATCTAACAACACAAACATTTCAAGTGAAGACACACACCAGCTTGGAGTTACAAACTGGGTTAAAATGATCAAAGAAAAACCTGAAGAGAATTTGAGAAAAACTGGGGAACTTTTGCCCAAAACCACTTAGAGATTATAGAAAAGTCGGGCTCTCTGGAAGGAAAACACTAAAAACACAAGGACTGTTTTGTATGCTTTATATGGGATTAAAAGGAATGATAAAAGATTAGTTTCTCACCTCCAAACTCCCCTTTACCAATGATCTGGAGGAGTTTCAGCTCCTTCCTGTTCAAGGCCCAGCCACCTGCAAAGAAGAAAGACTTATTCATGCTGTGTTGTACTGAAGTCTGTACATTTCAAATGCTGCAGGCAAAGAACCAGAAAAACATCCTTTCTATTCAAGACATTGATTAAAATATGCACATTCATTTCAATAAAAAGCTCTCTTCTCGTCAAAGTTCTACTTTTAAAATGTTCAATCTGTTATTATTCTGGAGTAATAATCAGCCGGGTCAGATGGGTGCATGAAGCAAAATGAAAGCAGATCCAGGAAGAGAGGGCTGATACAGATTGACCTTGAGTGCTGGTGAAGCAGTTTCCACAGACAACAAGATTATTTCCCTGCTGATTAATGCCATTAGGCTGGAGATGATAGCCCAACTTTAAAGGAGATGCAGCTTATGTGTGTACATGGTGTGTGCGTGAGGGATAGGTTAAACAGTGAATAAACAAATGTCCCTCAGAGCCTTGGTGCCAGAGTCCCTGTGGAGCAGTGTGATAAGCGTATAGTGCCCTTACTCCTGGAGAACTCGTCCTGTGCTGCCACCGTTCCCTCCATCAGCTTGGGTTTAATCAGCCTGGTACAAAGGCCATCGGCGTCTTTGGTGTAGTGCTGCAGAGACAGAAGTTAACAGAGTTAAACACTTGTCTTTAACATCTACGTTATCAGATACAGAATCTACTTTTCTCTGCCAGTAAGGAGCAAGTTGGGGGATGGTTCTAAAACAAAGCCACAGCCTGTATACACACTGTCATTATGCAAAAATAAAAACAGAAACATACAAAGGTGGGGATGAAACAAAGATTTGTTGTAAGATTTCATGTGAGGAAGAGATGAGCTGTTATCAGCACGCATCGATGTTGGAGGCGGAGGCTTGTCTCGGGGGAACAACAGCATCTCTGCCTCATTTCCATATAAAAGGCGTAAAAAAAAGAGATGGAGGGGCAATGTTGAGAAGATTTACTGTGCCATGGAACAGAGTGAGAATAAATAAAGTTAGGGAGCTACACATCTATTCTGAGGAGGGAAGTTTTGGGTGAACCTGCCCTGTTTGCAGTACAGTTGTAATAATGAGAATGACTAAAAGGCACAACTTAGCAACCTGTTTTTGGCTCTGTTCTTTCAGTTTTGATGTGAGGAATTCAGCAATGAATGACCGTAAGAGGAAAAACATATATAT